ATATATATATATATATATATATATATATAAGAAAGCTGCCCACCCTTCAGTCCGTTTATGTGGTCTTAACGGATTACTTTAAACAAATAATATAAAGTATCTACATTTTGTAATTTTCAATTTTTAAATTAGAAATATCGGTCTATTGAATTCCTCCTCAATGTCCTTTAAAAAACAAATTTTTACACGCTAGGGGAAATTAATTTGCCATTACACTTGTAATGCCATTTCTTCAAAAAATCATTTTGCAAAATGTATTGTCTTGACAATTATAGTCCTAAAATTGGCGACCGTGGCTCGCGTTCCACATGCCTCACTTCATTGAGTGTACCGGTAGTCTGGGAGATTAAATAATTGGTTCTTACCACACCTTACTCTGGGGAAATATGGGGGAAATATTTGGACACAGCTTAGGTATTTTTCAAGATGATCTGGCATCACAGTTGAATGACTGGCAGCACAGTTGAGTGACTTGCAGTAATTGGCCCCAGTGGATTTATTATTCTCACAACAGGTGAGACTCGGCTGTGACACGATTTTAACTTCACTCTTATATATACATATATATTTTTAAAAAATGACTTTTAATCAAACGGATGTAATGCTCAGATAGAAAGAATTATGATCGATTAAGGAATTCCCATTTCGGTACCCAAGTGCGTGTAACAAGTGTGTGTCACTCGGGTGTGTTCCCAGTAGGAATGGCTAAGGCCGTCGCTTAGACTTAGAGTCACTCTACTTAACATTTTCAAAGTAAAGGTGTTTTACATTCATTATGTGTCTAAGTATTATTTTAATTTTTAAAAAAACTCTTATGGAATCAGTAATGTGAAGTTACTATTTAAAAAAAATAAAATAAACGTTATTCAAACGTTTTTGTTTGTTTTGTTTTTTTAAAGTTTGTGATCATTATGGCATGCGTGATATGGACAATATTGACGTCACCGATTACATTATGTGCTTTGCCACTTCTTTTAGACACTCGTCTATTGATTGGGTATAAGGTTATTTACGCTCAAGTTCATTCTTTTTGTTCTAAAGATTACTATGAGTATCAGGTGACGCGATTTCTAGAATTTCTTAACTAGATGGTTCTGGTTTAAAATACCTGTACAGGTAGTAGCCTATATAGGACGGCAGCTTTCCCCAGCCGGCAGAGAGGTTTGTGTACCGTTTTTACTTGCTGTGCTGTATGTTGATATAGGTTTCTATTAATTAAAACTTGTATTTTGGGGGGCGTCCATTAATTTGTCAACAAAATAGGGAGAAAGGGGGGGGGTGGAAATTGTTGACAGTTGTTGGCAAGGGGGAGGGGTGGAGCCTAGATTAGTGGACGTCAAAAGTCATGTTTTTTTTCAATTAGAATCTTAATCTTAAAAATTGACTTGTACTTACATTATTTCAAACAATTTAATGAGTGTAAATGGTCACATATGTTTAGGCTTTTAACAATGTAAGAGTTATTTAACGTGTGTATGTCTGTGCACTGCAGATGGTTGGTCAGAATGTTAGCACTCTTTGTTATCAAATGGTGTTGATAGAGTACTTTGAGATACTTTGAGAATAAGGTGAATGTAAAGTGAGTACCAATAATAACATCGCTGTTACCCACCCTGTTGTTTATAAGTAGGTCATGTTCAGAACTGCCAACTCATTCAAATTGCTTTCGGGATTTTAATGCCATCAGCGTAGCATTTCCACTGTAACACCTTATAGTTTCCTCCCATCCCCCTCTTAGTGTATTACTCTTATCTACCCCTCCCCGTATATCCTAGAATTTACCCCTATTCTCCTTACGCTAAGCGGATAATTTTAAAAAATAAATTGTTTTTGTGTTTAAATTTACCACTGGTCGCCAGAATCATCATACAACTAATAAGACTATGCAAAATGTAAAGTTTAATTTTAATGACAAATATCAAGAAGTCAATAAGTCTTATTTAAAGGGACGCTATTGCACATTCTGAAAATAAAACGCTTCAGAAAGGTTGTCTCCCTTGCAACTTTTATTTACGTATGAGGGGGAGAAATCGGTTCAGATTATATTATTGATCGATGGAAGTTTGTTAAAAATGAACGTATTTTAAAGTAGATATAGACAGATATATATCTATATATTAGAGACATTTATATATATCTTATATATAAGTTTAAAAATAATAACTTATATACATAAATACGTTATATATATATATATATATATATCTTTTTCAGGGAAGTTGCGCCTGAGGATTTTTTTCACCCTTACATCATTTTGAAAAAATGTTCCTCATGAATGAAACAATTTCCGTTCCAACAATATCCCTTCAAACAAACTTCCGTGGAGCAATTTTCCTTGGAACACATTTCATATCGTACTATCATTCATGTTCATGTAGTACAGGGGTTCTTAACCTTTTTTGCAACACCACCCCCCTCTCGATTTCAGACGATTCCCACAACGCCCCCCTCCCTAGCTAAAAAATTAATTTTCCAGGTTAGTTAAAAGCATAACTATAGACTAAAAAATTATCACCCTAAAATATCCATGGCGTACGTCAATCTGTATCACTGTTGATAGGCCCTATAACAAACGTTAGTTTATAGCATGGCGCTCACACCAGTATTAAATTGCTTTACAAAATCCAACAATATAAATACTAAGACTAAGAGTTTCAGTTTTCTATCACTTTTATGGACATCCTAAAATTTTCTAAAAAACGTTTTTTGAAAAAGATATTTGAGGTCAAATTAATTTGTACATACTGTATATAATTTTTTAAATCGTTCTGTTGCTAATTTTTGGCTCTTTTGACTAATGAGTTTGCCGACCACTTTCCTATACCTGTAACATATGAACGGTTTCTGGATCCAGCACAGCACACGGTTATTAAAATCATGTACCGGTACTCAAAATAAACTTTCATATGTTTTTTTTAAATTTAATATTTAAAACTTTGGAGTAAAGGAAGGTACATTAACCGATTTTTATTTAATTGTTTAAAAAAAAACAACGGTTTGTTATATTTAATTTCATAAGTTCTATAAATAACAAATTATAATTATTTCAATTTATTCTCATATCAAATTAAATTAGCAGTTTAACAAATCCATCTTGGCTAATGTGAATAAATAGCACCCTGAGTCATTTGCATGTTTTGTCCCTGGTTCCAGTCGGGTCAAAACCCAGGTTAGGACATAAGTTCGCCATGGTTAAAAAAAACGCGGTGCTATGCCTTCACATTTACCCAAATCTTTAATTAACAAATCTTGACAGCAGGCTTGCCAAACGTGCGTAAATTTACGGACAGTCCGTGTAAAGATTTGTCGTAAAATTGCCTGTCCGTAAAATTCCGTTAAAAAATTAAGACGTCCGTAAAAAAAAAAATCGATAAAACGTGGAATCTCATCGTTTAAAAAAACACAGTAAATCATGTTTGTGATCTCTATTTTCTTGATTTAAATTTTAATTTTTTAATTGTTTTAGTGGCATCCCGCGCTCTATTAATAAACTGTAAGAGCTTTCTGGACAGCTAGCTAGGCGCGCGCGGCGAAACGCATCGCGGCAAGATGGACTTGTTTAGACAGATCGTTAGTCGTTACGTCACAATAACGCATAAATTATGACGACATAAATATAAAAATAGTATCTGTTTTTTTAAAAAATGGACTTTATATATATATAAATGTGTCCGTAAAAAATTGTTTTTGTCCGTAAAATTTGTTGAGAGTTCTTATATTTGTCAGTAAATGTTATTTTATTGAGTTGGCATTGGCAAACCCTGCTTGACACTTTATGGGTGAGTGTTTATATTTGTTTAGAATGGTGCCCCACTAACCCCCCCTGTCAACAAAATGAAACCTCAGTGTAGACACACTACAGATGATTATCAATTGAATTACGTTGCGACTTGTGCAGTTAAAGCCATCCTTGATTCTGAACATTTCCAGAGGGAAAGTGATTTTTGTCAACTTCAATCACATATTCACGTAGGGACACGTGTTACAGCGAGCTCGGTTGCAACTTTTTGGTGCCTACTTGTGCTTTAATAGCAGGGGAGGCAGCTTCTAAAAAGCATGTCCCTAAGGCTCTTGCCTCCCTCCAACCCCCCCCCCGCCCCCGCGGGAAAGCGAAAACAGGAGGTTTTTTGAAAATCAGATGAAACGCTGCAAAATGTTTTTTTTTAATTTTTTTATTTAGACACCTCCCTTTCAAGTAGCGCCCAGGGAAATGCCCTACCTGCCATTAGTCAAAGACTGGCACGGATGGCATACATTCTGGCTGCAAGCGCTTTTAATTATTTCTTAAATTGAATTATCTCATCAAATTAAAAGCGCCCCCGACCCCTGTTTCTTAATTCACCTTTTAAACCCATTGAGTTACATTACATTTTCCCCTTTTCAAAATTGTAATTTATTTGAAATTATTGATAGCTAATGTTATATCGGTTCTTTTCAACGATATATTTTAAGGTTCTCTGTCCCATATACAAGAAATATGGATCAATATTCGAGACGATTACATTGGGTGGTCATGACTTTGCTGCTTGGCGCGATATACTTTATAGAAGGTAAGTGAAGCTGATAAGAAATTCAACGTCTACTGCGCGAATTTTTGTATCATATAGTTCTTGAAAAAACTCACAACTATTAGTGATTGATATATTAGTTGTTGGTTTTTTTTTTTAAAATATATGTTAGAATCGTGTAACAAACTGTAAAGTGTATTAAAAAAAAAATTAAAATTATGGTATTGTTGAATAATGTTAAGCTCGACCACACACACCAGAGTTGAAATCGGTAACTTTTTGCGGGTTTCGTGATTAAAGTCCACACAGAAATCACATCATCTGGAAATTCGAAATTACCGAATTTTAAATTGGGGCAAAGGCAAAGGTGTCACACGCTACACCAAAAGGCTTAGCTGTTAATTTTACATGGTTACCCATTTCCCCCCAAAAATTAAAGTAAATATCTTAATTACCGGGTATATGATCGAAAACACTAAAAGAGAACGGAGTGGATATTCGCACCCGGGTACGAGAAGTGAGAGGTTGGGATTAAAAAAACAATTTAAAATATTATTGTTTGGTTTGTAAGACAAAATGAGGTGTCAAATGAAAGATAATTGAATTGGACGATATGTCTGCAAACTTACTTCTTCAGTTTAACTAAAATAAACTACCACAAATGACACCCGAATGGGATTTAGTCTAAAGGGACCCGGGTCCGAATAGCGGCTATGCGTACCCTGGTAATGAAAATTTCCAGTGCAGATGGGCAGCAATGGTGTCGTGTGGGGTTGCCGAATAGACGTAGTTAATGTCAGGTCGCCTTAATAGGTGACTGGGAGAGATATTTACCTCCGTTTTCTGACCTGTAGGGTGGTGAGGCCAAAAGATAGTGCGGAGGCTTGCTTGCAATCGGAGCATTTGTCATACTAACTTATCCACTTTCCGAGGTCAAAGCGTCATTTCTAATCGTAGTTTTAAAATAAACCGGCGTGCTATTTCTTTAAATCACAAATCTATCAACCCCAAGAACATATGTGATATGCTCTCTGTCTAAGTCTAATCATCGAAAAATTATCAAAAGAAGAACGCTTATATTTATATGAATTATATTAAATACTAGCCGATATACCCGGCGTGGCTCGGGATTGCATAGGACCCCATCCAGGTTGGACCCCCCCCCCCGATCCCATTTCTGACACCGATCTCGGCGCAGTCCCATTTGCCGGTGTGATCCCGATCCCGGTGGATCCATTCAAGGTTAGGATCCCGATCCCGGTGGGATCCCGTTTTCTGGTGGGATCCTGATCCATTGGGATAAAGATTATGATGGGATCCCTACCCCTTTGCTTCTATTCCGAATATAAAAAAAAATTACTCAGTGTTACTGAGAGAAAAGTAAACTCCGTGACATTATGGAAATGAATAGAACTAACTAACATTTCAATATTCCCTTAGATTCCACTCTATATCCCTTTGGAACAATTTAGAACTTTCTGGAACACTCTAGATTAAATTTAATAACCTGTTCGAAACATGTGTAAAAACTACTTATCTAATTATTGTTCAAATACGATAAAAATCTTCAACAAATACCATAATTATAATCCTTTTTCTTTTAAGTTAATCGAGGGTCCCCGGGGGCCCATTCCATAACAGTACGGATATAGTTATACCTGAGCTAGGGGGGCCTATAAAATCAGACAGATAAATAATAAAGTTAAAATTTAAAATTGTCCCATAAAAATCTACTTAAAAATACCATAGATATAGCTTTTTTAAAATTATGGAAGTTTCTGGAAAATTCTAGATTGGATATTATTAGTTTTTAATCCACCGATATTTCGATGCAGCCAATGAAGGGTATTGCTACAACGCTAGGCCTATATCCATCAATTCACATAGAAACTCTCGTGTTGTCTAAGCCTATTGATATTTATATAGCTTATATTAGGAAAAATTAAATGCCCCCCCCCCCACCCCGGCCCCAGAGAAATGGATACTATGAGTTCAGTACCCTTCGGTAGTTGAATATGGATACTAAAGTATATGTGTACTAAGTTTGGTCAAGATCCATCTACTCATGTAGGAGTATTTGTTTCTTATTATTTTTATATAGTTAATATAAGGGGAAAAAAACGAATTCGGGGCCCTCGGCCCTAAACGTTATGTTATAAAAAGTTCATAACCCCTTAAGACTTCTTTCTGGATCATGATGGATATATGTACCAAGTTTGGTCAAGATCAATCAATCCAAGTAAATGCCTTTGTGGAACAAACCCACAAACCCACACAATTTCACTTTTATATATATTATTATACTAGCCAATATACCCGGCATTTCACGGGGTTGCATTAGGACCCCGATCTCGGTAAGACCCCAATCCCAATGGGACCCCAATCCCATTCTCACCATGATCCGGTGTAATCCCTTTTCCCGTTGTGATCCCGTTCCCGGTGGCATCCCGTTTTCTTGTGGCTACGATCCCAGGGGGAATCCAGATCCCGATGGGATCCCGATCCCGTCGGCGTCTTGATCCCAGTGGGATCCCGATATCGGTGGATCCCGATGGGCTACCGATCCCGTTAGGATACCCTACACTGTTGGATCCCGTTCCACCTGGGCACTCTATTTCTCGATTTCATTCCTTTTCCCGACAGGATCCCGATCCCAGTTTGATCGCGTTACCCTGGAAAATTCTATAATGGATATTATTAATTTTAAATCCACCAATATTTCAATACGGACAATGAAGGGTATTGCTACAATGCTAGGCCTATATCCATCAATTCACATAGAACCTATAGTGTTGTCTAAGCCTATTGATATTTATATGGCTTATATAAGAAAAAATTAAACGGGGCCCCCGGCCCCATATGAATGGATATTATGATTTCAATACCCTTCGGTATTTTAATACGGATAATAAAGTGTCTGTGTACTAAGTTTGGTAAAGATCCATCTATTCATGTAGGAGTATTAAGCCTATTGATATTTATATAGCTTATATAAGGAAAAATTAAATGGGGCCCCCGGCCCCAGAGGAATGGATATAATGAGTTCAGTACCCTTCGGTGTTTGAATATGTATCATCAAGTGTATGTGTACTAAGTTTGGTTAAGATCAATCCATTCATGTAGGAGTATTTTTCAGTAATTTTATTTAAATAGCTCATATAAGAAAAAAACGAATTCGGGGCCCCTGGCCCAAAACGGAATGTTACAAAAAGTTCATAACCCCTTAAGAGTTCCTTCTGGAGAATGATGGATATATGTACCAAGTTTGGTCAAGATCCATCAATCCATGTAAAAGCCTTTGTGGAACAAACAGACACCGCCCGCCACAAACAAAATTTCACTTTTATATATATATATATGATATGATATTTATATAATAGTTCGTCCGTCGAAAAAGTAAAGAGTAAAGGAAAGAGAGTTGCCCCCACCTGCATGAGAATTAAACTTAACTTTCTAAAAAAAAAAGTAACTTTATTTCATATAAATATAAACATCTACTTTAACTAAACATTTTAATGTCTTTATTGCTAATACATATATATATAAATAAAGTTGTTAAAAATATAATATGTGTTTCTTTATAATCGCAGGCAGACCGTTTCAGTGTCCAGATACAAAACCACACATGTGCCCACCACCATCGGAAACCTGCTATGGGTACGATGAGTTTTGTTCAGATGGTTTGAACACATCATGTTTTCCCTTAAAATTTAAGGACCTTGAGCGCCCTGCGCAAATCGAGTGGTGCATACATAATCTGGAGGACGTGTCTAAGATGAGGAACACCAAATGCAGGCTGGCTTGCCAATCACGTTTCAATTTCTCTGAACTAGGCCAAGAACTTTGTAAGTCATAAATGATTATTGAATAACGTCTTTCATGATGTTAAATAATTTGAATGAATATGCTATCATTTCTATATTTCCTAACAATTGATAAAACAAAGAGGCTGATGTCTGCATTTGTGCTATCACCCATGGACTATTGCAATGCTCTCATGGTGGGTCTTCCAGCTACGCTAATGTATTAAATTCAAATAGCAGAGAATAATGCGGCTCGCATTGTTCTCCGCAAACGCAAATTCGACCATGCAAAAACACTTCTGAGAGAGTTGCACTGGCTGCCGGTGCGTGCTCGCATAGAGTACAAAATCGCAACTTTGTGCTACCGCTGCTTACATGACCTGGCGCCGTCCTATCTGAAAGAGCTGCTGACGCCTTATGTACCCACTAGAGAGCTCCGCTCATCCGATAGTGGCAAACTCTCGACACCACGTGTTTGCCTTGAGACTTACGGAAAGCGCACTTTCGCATTTGCTGGTCCAACAATTTGGAACGCCCTTTCTTATGTACCCACTAGAGAGCTCCGCTCATCCGATAGTGGCAAACTCTCGACACCACGTGTTTGCCTTGAGACTTACGGAAAGCGCACTTTCGCATTTGCTGGTCCAACAATTTGGAACGCCCTTCCAGTCGATCTCAGAAACAACCAGACACTGGAGTCCTTTAAAACCGATCTAAAGACACATCTATTTCGCAAATACCTTCTGGGATGATTGTCTACCTTATTTTCCATTTAATGCATAATGGCTGTGTTGCTCCGGGTTGAAATGGCTAGAAAGACTTTGAGATTGTATGCTTGTAATTAATTTTTGTAGTGTTGCGTTTGTTTTAAATGTGGTAAATTATAGATTTGTTTTTTGTTGACTTTGTACCGCGCTTCGAGCCTTTGGGGATGAAGCGTGTTTTTGAAATGAACTTTATTATTATTATTATTATATATTTTTTTAATTCCATAAGTTAGCATTGGTAAATGATGAATAAGTATTATATATGACAATAACGACCATACAAGCCAAAAAGCAAGCGATTCTTCATTTACCATTCAATTTTTTCGAAATCACTTTTTTTTTTGTGGGGAGGGGCGTTGATATTATAAGTGCTTTGTCACAATTTTGATTCACGGAGGCATTTCAGAAGCTCGGAAGGAGAGTGGAAGGCATTCACATAATTCAAATTTATTTAAGAAGTTAAAGGCAAACAATACTTTTTGCTCGTTGAAGTATACATAATTTGAATGGGGGGGGGGGTGTGTGGATTCAAAGGATTTTTACATTTCTCAAGGAAATCTTAGTGTAGAGCGCCAACAAATCTTCTTTTAGATATTCCTCAGTTGGAATTTCTTAGTGCGTAATATTTTATTTCCAGGTTCATTGAGTTATCAAAAATGTGTATATTATACAGCAGTGGTTCTTAACCTGGGTTCGATCGAACCCCAAGGGTTCGGTGAGTCAGTCTCAGGGGTTCAGCGGAGGTCCAAAATAAAAATCAGAAGAAAAAAAAATCATATTTTAATTATTCCTATTAAGAAGGGTTCGGTGAATGCGCATATGAAACTGGTGGGGTTCGGTACCTCCAAAAAGGTTAAGAACCACTGTTACACAGAGATGGCATAAGCACCCACAGCCATGACTTAACTACTATCTAGTATTGAGAAAAAAATACTAAATCGATACAACTAAAAGTGAACTAAAAGTGAACTTGGCAATTAATTAGGATTTATAAAACTGTCAGCAGTGTATGTAAGGCAACACATTATAATTTTTTTATTTCCTAATTACATTTAATGCTCAAAGTTATGCGTTAGTACAGTTACAGTTACAGACTGACATAAATAAAAATTGTGCTAAAATTATGTGGGCGCTTCTGACGCATGAGTGATGGGGCAAAACTTCACGCACACTTACCGAACCTTATGATACTATATGCCTTTAATTAACATTGAAATATATTTCAAATTTCGTACACAAAAAAAAAATTAAAAAATTGTTAATTATTATTTTGAGGTACTCACTATCATAGAGTATATGCGCTTAGTTTTGTTCTTTCAGTGAGTTTAGAATGATTCCATACCGGCTTATTTAATCTAACCATAGCTGCTGCTGCTTTTGCGGTCCTAGTGTTTTCATTCTTCGCTCTCGCTGGAGTATTAGTGCAAAAGCCGTGATGGATACATTTAATGTGCCCATGTGTTCACCTCCGTTGAAATGTGTGGAGACCGGGAATGGCTTGTTTTGGTTCAATATCTCGAAGATGTTCACCTAATCTACCAGAGAGCCTTCTTCCCGTCTCACCTTTACAACATGAGCGGCATCTTCGGCAAACGATCACATGTATCACATTTCGACTGATACATGTGAAGCCATCTTTGTTGATAAAGGTCATCATAAGGAAGCCATTGTTTTCAGTGTCCATTACATACACACTTGAACACAGCTTATTCCAAACGTGAGAAGGGTCGGCTCGAAAGCGACTGTGAACAAGAAGGTATATAGTTTTATCCCGTCTGAAGACAATAAGTGCAGCAAGCAACCTTGAAGAAAACCCTGTTAGTGTCAGGGTATGGAAGGAGTATATGACGATTCTTTAAGAATATTTCTGTCAATCACATTATGAAGAGTTGTTGTAAGGATGAGTTTTTTTCCATCCTATAATAACTTTTTTTAATCGAGTTGATGTTTGTTTTTTTTTAAATTAGGGGTACTGTTTAGGGAATTAATATTTTTGTAAAGCTTGGTTGGTGTCCTTAATATATGTAGGTAAGGGAGTTACAAAAGGTTAGAAGAAACTTTGATATGTGTTCAGTCGAGCAAGAGCATGAGGCTGAGACAACACTGCCTTCCATGGAATGTTTTAGCCTAAAAGTGCCTTTCGCACATCAATCTGCCTGTTAGATTTCAATGTTCAGTCCTGTTTCCCCAGCAGGAACAGGGATCAACGATTTTCGCAAATTTCGATGATGGCTTCCCCGATGTTTCTTTTGCACACGTCTCTATATAGCACTGCGACGTACGCGCGCAATATGTTTTGCTACCTCTGCCAATTCTCTGTAGCATACTAGTACAAAGGACCCTACGGAATACGGCCATGGAGAGTGAGCTAGAGATATTAAAACGTGAACATTTCAACTGCTGCCAGATTAAGTCTCTCAAGAGTTACGTTTGGGGCGGGCATTGTATCCTACACCATGGCACGTTTACATCATTTCCTTTAGGAGACTAATGGTAATTCTTAACTCCCCAAAGGAGTGGGAGATGCGCTCCACTAAATGATGTAGTCCTACTTCCGTGTGTGATGATAGGCGTTCAAGGGGACCGCGAGAAGTTGATTTTTTTCCCTTTAAATTCGTGTATCGAATAATGCTGTTAACATTTTTATTCCATTCTATTCTATAAGACCTGAATCAAATAATATTGCAACTGTGAATCCTGTGTGTGTGAATCCTGTGTGTGTGAATCCTGTGTGTGTGAATCCTGTGTTTGTGAATCCTGTGTGTGTGAATCCTGTGCGAGTGAATCCTGCGTGTGTGAATCATGTGTGTGTGTGAATCCTGTGTGTGTGAATCATTGTGCGAGTGAATCCTGCGTGTGTGAATCATGTGTGTGTGTGAATCCTGTGTGTGTGAATCCTGTGCGAGTGAATCCTGCGTGTGTGAATCATGTGTGTGTGTGAATCCTGTGTGTGTGAATCCTGTGCGAGTGAATCCTGCGTGTGTGAATCATGTGTGTGTGTGAATCCTGTGTGTGTGAATCACTGTGACGATAGTTATCTAAACTGTAAAATCAAGTGTTACTTCTAGCCATGTAAAAAGAATATTGATTAGGCTTTATTTTCTTACCTTCTCCCGGGTGAAAGTTACAAGTAACCTCCCCCCTTCACCTTGGGAGACAGACGTAGAGACGTATTTGGGAATTAAAAACTGGCTGGCGGACCATTTCAGGAAGAAGGGGTACACGCAATGGGCAGACAACACGACCGCCAGAGGAGTCTATTCAAACTTGCCCACTCCTAGCAAACAAGACCCATGTTGGGGGTTAGGACGCAGACAGCAGAGCTTAGTGACGCAGATGCGCACCGAGAACTGCCCGTTGCGCACATATTTCTGGCGGCTGGACAACAACAGAGATCCTACCTGCCGGCATTGCAGCCTGGCCCCGGATACCCTAGAGCATCCGTTGACTGAATGTCCCTCACTAGATCTCCCGGGGGAAGCCAGGGCGGTTGGAGGACTCTTTGTGAGGAAAATGTTGTATGGCTCAGCTCAACAGAGGGAGTTGATAGCCAATTTACTAGCCGGGGTCATACGAGAGTAATCTCAGACCCTCACCAGAATATGTGTGTTAGTTAGTGTTACTTCAACTACTTCACAATGAAATGTCAAGTCCAGTTTTACACACACTGCACTTTATTTACATGAAAAACAATACATATATATTAGATAGACCTTGGAATAGTTGTGTAATATGAGATGTAGCTTCAAATATATTATAAGATCGCCTCTTGTTCATTCACTATTTTATGTCTTTTCTGATCTAAAATGTCTTCTAAAAATCTCCCATTCTCTGTTGCACATTGTTCAAATATCTTCGTATCTCCTCTTGCCTTTTTTTCTTATATCTCGTGCAACCTCTCGTATTCTCTCGTGCCTAATATTTTCAATGGTCTAAATACCCAGATGTTACAAATGTCATTATATTTTTAATTTATGTTATGTTAGCACACCAACTCTCAATGTGGCTATCATAAAATTAAAATGGTCTCATGCACTAAATCATTTTATTTGTCTCACTCTCTTAGCAACTCAAATAAAGACATTGAAAGCTGAAAAGAACGAACTTGAGTCTCAAAAGAAAACAAGTAAGATATCATGTTACTTGATCCTGCAATACGAGTTTGATGAAAATGTTAAAATTAAGTTTTTTTCCTTAAGCCAGCTGAGCCCAATTTTTATTTGATCATATTATTTTTTTAAATTTATCTTAATATATTGTGGGTCAAGTCAGATAGCGGTTTTCAAATAACATGCAACGATGATACTGTCTTTCGACCTCCATCGTTCAAGCTCAGGGTTTCACTGATCGTTAACAATTTTTTTTCCTCCCTTTTGGGGATGCCTCCGAAGGTTGATTTGGGGGGGGGGGGGGGGGAAGGCTGGTAGGAGAGATGCACCACCGGAGGAAGTTTACTGCCCCTTCCCTAACCAGGACAATTTTATAATGTCGACCCCCCTACCCCTTTTTTTTTCCAATTTTGTAAATCTAATAATGAGTTTAACCAGGCGTGCTCATAAAATATTGTTTAAAAAACAACTTTAGAACACAGCACACACATTATACAACACCTACCCAATAGCCTTCCCTTCAATAGATTGTGACCCTGGTTATAGCAGCTATATCTGCTATAGCCCTTATGTCGTGGGCGTATTTGACGGGGAGCCATCTTGCCTGGGGCCCTTTTCTAAGTAGCCATATTGTTGGGACCATTTTCTTTTTGGAGCCATTTTGTCAGAGGAATTTTTCTTATCTACACATATTTTCAGGGGCTTTTTATTCGAGAGCCGTATTGACCAGGGCCTTTTGTCGGTTGTGGGGCGTGCATAGATGCCAATTTTTGGGGGTCGTTTTGACGAGTTACCCACATCTGATGTGCCCAAGTGGGGGGGGGGTCCTTATGTAATCTGTTAAAAGTTTGACAGCTGCTGATATGGGGAAGGGACGGTGACACGAACTGCCAAAATTGTGTGGGGCGTGCATAGATGCCAATTTTTGGGGGTCGTTTTGACGAGTTACCCACATCTGATGTGCCCAAGTGGGGGGGGGGTCCTTATGTAATATGTTAAAAGTTTGACAGCTGCTGATATGGGGAAGGGACGGTGACACGAACTGCCAAAATTGTATTGACATAAGTAATGTACGGCCCCAAATGGTATGTGCCTTTAACTATAACCTAGAATTGAGACTACAATAAACGTACGGGATTGGGGTAAAACATCGAAGAGTTGTCGGACAGGTTACAACAGGCTTGCACAGCATACGACCCGCGGGTCGTATGTGGCCCGCCAGCATCCACTTTGCGGCCCGCGAGGTAACGAAATATTCTTTTTTCTTATTATTTTCTTAATACCTTTCCACCCTGTCCATTTTTCTTTTGGCCCGTAAAAGTCCTGTCTTATATTCCTTTGGCCCACACAAGTTTTTCATAAAATATTATGGACCGCCATCATTTTGAGTTGTGCAGGTCTGGGTTACAAGATGAGGACTGTGTACGAACACTACTCAACTAGAGAAACAGTACGAAGTCAAGCCAAGTTTTCAGACTATTACTATTAATATCCATCCTTTGGAAGTTATTAGATAAGATCTATTCATTTAAGGAGTCCCATGGTGATTTAGGTTGTTGACTGCTGCGCTAACACATTAAAATATACACAATTTCTACATCAGTAGCCATCTTATCTGCTCTGGACTTTTTTTTTATATCTCGTGCAACCTCTCGTATTCTCTCGTGCCTACTTTTTTTCGATGTTCTAATTACCCAGACGTTACAAATGTCATTCTGTTTTAAAGTTATGTTTGGGTAACAAACAAAATCGTTATTGCGCAATGACAAAATGGTTAGAAAATCCCATTTAGATTTACAGTCACATGTACTACATCATTTTTTTTGTTTTACTCTCTTAGCAACAACTCAGTTGAGTGAATTGAAGGTTAAAAATAACGAACTTATGAACAGAATTGCCGCTTTGGAGTCTGAAAAGCAAGCAAGTAAGATATCATTTTCTTTAATCTTGAAATATATCTTGCAGGCTTCCATAATCTCCAAGAACATTTTTTTCCCTTTGTGTCTCCCTCCGTAGGTGTGTGGATGGGGAGGGGGCTGTGAGAGACACACCACTGGGGGAATTTTACTCCTCCTCCCCAACTGGGACAATTTTTCAATGAGGACTACCCCCCCCCCCTTTTCACCATTTTGTAAATCTAATGATGAGTTTAACCAGGCGTGCTCATAAAATATTGTTTAAAAAAAACAACTTTAGAACACAGCACACACATTATACAACACCTACCCAATAGCCTTCCCTTCAATAGATTGTGACCCTGGTTGAAGCAGCTATATCTGCTATAGCCCTTATGTCGAAGGCGTATTTGACGGGGAGCCATCTTGCCTGGGGCCCTTTTCTAAGTAGCCATATTGTTGGGACCATTTTCTTTTTGGAGCCATTTTGTCAGAGGAATTTTTCTTATCTACACATATTTTCAGAGGCTTTTTATTCGAGAACCGTATTGACTCGGGCCTTTTGTCGGTTGTGGGGCGTGCATAGATGCCACTTTTTGATCTTGAATTATTTGTTTGATTAAAATGTTAACTTTAAGTTTGTTTGCTTTACCCAGCCGAGCCCAAGATTTATTCCTGTAAAGAACCCCATGGGGCCCTAGGTTATTGACTGCTGCGCTAGCATATACAAATAGGCACACGTTCGACATCAGAAGCCTTAGAAAGTTTGTTGTAACTGCTAAGCGTAAACACCTGCGTGGTATATCGGTGTCAGTCATGAGTTCGTGGGGATTGAAACCATCAACAAACAGGGGTGGATTCTCAACATGGACTTATCAGTGGGATTTGTGGCTGCAACAAATACGCAATGTTTTGAACGTACTTTAAAAGGCCTACTTCGTGATGCGTTATATGACAAACATTTTATTCTAATTGTTAACTGATTTGTCGTCTGTTCAATAACGTTTGTTTATATAAAAGAATTTAAATTATTTAATGGTAATATTGAAAATTCTCTCCTTTAATGGACACAAAAATAACACTAAAGGCTCTATTTTTACCCCATCAGTGGACACAAAAATAATAGGCGTAAGTGTAGGCTTAGGCCTAGTAATAGGAATAGGAGTGTCAACAGTCGCAGTTGTTTTCCTCTGTTGCTTGAAGATAAGCTCTGGCATATGTGGTCTTAAGATAACGAAAGGTAAGAATTATAAACTTTCTTACAAATAGATAAAAGGTCATCAAATAATGCATGTGTGTTGTATTAAATCTTTGTTATAAAATATTTGAGAATGAAGGGAATCTGAAAGTATTTGACACAAACATAGACTATTGATGAGTGTCACGTGCTATAAAAACAAATCACATAATGTGCTTGCATCACGTGGTTTTAGCGAGTCTTTCTTTTTCATTCTTTGTTTATCATTAGGTAAACCATACACATAGTTTGTTTGAATAAGTTTTGGACGTTGGTCTGTCAAATAACTATTTTCTGAACGTCCAACATTTCAGCAGGCCTACCGGTAACTGAATCACAACCAGAACAAGACCCCCTCATGAATGGCACTGACCAACAGCAAACATCAGCAGCCAACACTCCTCCTGCTATTGATAATAGTAAACAGCATGCGTTAAAAAAAAATATGGTGTAAACCAAAATATCCAGGAAACGATGAAGCAAGGCTATGGCATGGCGCTAAAGGTTCGCAGCTCTAGCACACAATCAAGTTTTTCAATTTAAAATGCTAAGTTAACTAACTTCTCTTATTACAACAGATAATGCTGTTGGAGAATTTTTTTAAATATACGTTTCCAAGCTTTTAAACTTTTGGCAGCGTAGCTTCTCATTTCTACTCTTTCATTTTAACTTTTTAAAAAAATATAAAGCCAAGGAAGGTTTTCAGAATGGATGTTAATATAATTTTTAATTTGACAAACCGATTATTGGTTTCAGGAATTCGGTTTGTTCTTACAATGCATTATCAACTGTCCCCCACAGCGGGGTTTGATTTTTTTTTTTTTTTTTTTTTTTAGACCCACTGCGGGGGATTTCTTCCTTGTTTTATTTTGTTATGAAAGTTTGGTAGCATCACTTGATGCTTCCAACCCACCCCCCCACAATTTTGATCTTCTTACAATGCATTATCAACTGTCCCCCACAGCGGGGTTTGATTTTTTTTTTTTTTTTTTTTGTAAGACACACTGCGGGGAATCTCATCCTTGTATCATTTGGATATGAAAGTTTGGTAGCATCACTTGAAGCTCCCAACCCACCCCCCCACAATTGTGATCAAACAAAAGATCACACAAGTCTAAGTTTTGTTTTACGTACCGGTATTTGTTTATGAGCACCATCAGTTTGGGACAGGGGCATGCACTACACATTCCTGTATCAGTTTTATTGTTGACTTGGTGCCGCTATTTTTAGCAGTCCTTGTCCACAAAAAGACGGAAGTAAATATTTAGCTTTTATTATAATATGCCTTAAATATACAAAAAAAAATTAATTAATTTTTTTGTCTATTTGTAATAACAGTATTTACATTATTACATCCCAAAATATGTCAAGCATTTTGTAATCGATGATACCTTAAAACAATATATATTTTTTTAAAGAACATGTTTGTTTTTTTTGTTGCTGATTTATCTATTTATTTTTATACCATATATTACTCAAAATTACTTCCCAAACATTTTTATTTTCAGCTTTTTATTGTTAGATATAAAAGCACTTTTTAAAGATATTAAATATGTTTAGTAACTACTTAATAAACAATACTCACTAAGAGGGAACTAACAAACTTGTATTTTAATTTTATAGGCAACAATGTTTTTTCATAAAATACCATTTTATACATGTACAATATTCATGTCAATTTTTGTAATTAGACTCATTAAACTCAAAATTTAAAAAAAAAAAGCTTAATTTATTATAATATGCCTTAACTATACAAAAAAATGTTAATTTTTTTGTCCATTTGTAATAACAGTAATTACATCCCAAAGTATTTTGTAATCGATGATACCTTAAAACAATATATATTTTTTTAAAGAACATGTTTTTTTATTGCTGCTGATTTCTTCATTCATTGTTATACTATATGTTACTCAAAATTACTCCCCGATGATTTTTATTTCCACAGCTTTTTATTGTTAGATATAAAAGAATTTTTTAAAAGATATTAAATATGTTTAGTAACTACTCAATAAACAATACTCACTAAGAGGGAACTAAGAAATTTGTATTTAAACTATAAAGGCAACAATTTTTTTTAATAAAATGCCATTTTATACATGTACAGTATTCATGTCAATTTTTGTAATTAGACTCATTAAACTCAAAATTTAAAAAAAAAGCTTTTTGCCTACATAAAAATGATTTATGTTCCCCTTCTAATTTTGTATGATTTAAAAAAAATATTTGGATTAAAAAGCACACAAAAATGAAAAACATATATTTTTTTTAAAAAGTATATTTATATTTGTATAATCTCGAAGCCTGTGAAGACAAAGTGAACATCACTCACAATAGATATACATGTATAAAGACATTAGCGAAGACAAATAATTTTTTTTTTTTAAAGTCTTACCCACTTATAACTTTAAAGCTTTAATTTAGGCACAGTCACTCTAGATTCAAAGTATTGGCAAAAAATTGATATTAACACAAATACTCCAATGGCATTTTTTGTTATATTAGACTAAGGTTATTTATTTTTATACATTTAATGTTATCAAAATACAGTCTCTCCTTTTTGTTATAAAATGTCTCCACTTCCCTCCATGTTTAAAAATTGATATGCCTTATTTTTCTATGTGCCTTGTCATCAACACTATCACCCTTGACAGTGTCCTACCATTCGGGCATTTAGGGATCGTGGCCTTTGACATTTTATTTCATCTATTTTGGGTCCCCCATCAATGTTTGGGTCACCAAACTCTTCATTTGATCTATTTTTACTTTATCAAACACTGGTAATTAACTAAACATATTTTTTTTAAGCAGCGTGTGCCAGACAGCATTGAGTTTTATACTATGCATCGAATGCAAGCAAACAAAAGTACACATTCTGAAAGGCTCATAAATGAAAAAAATATTTTTTTAGATAATCACTGGATAAATAATAATATATCAAATATTTATAGGAATTATTTGTGAAATAAAGCAATGCCCGAATATAAATTTTTTATTTCCAGAAAGGCAGATGAAAGTATTAAGTTTGTTGAGAGAGTTTTGCTGGGTGTCCGGTCACATAATGACCAAAAATTTAGAATTTATTCAAACTGGCATATAGTTTCAGTGGTCAGAAATATAGATGTTGACACATCCATCTTTCAGCTCAGTGTATGTTTGTTTCACCAGAAAATCCTAGCTTAGAAAAAAAATGCCAGCTGTTATACCTCGCCCACCTGTGTATTATATGTAGATGACTGATTTGAAAAGATAATGAACAATGTTTACAAATTTCAAGCACATATTAAAACTTCTTTTAATCTCATTAAAGCTTTGAGAATTAGTGTTGAAGAATTTACACAAAATTATGCATTTTTGTTGTTCACGTTAAAAATTAGCTAACAAAGATGTAGAATCCAACAAATCACAAGGACACTTAAAAAAAAAAAAAAAAAAAAAAAAAAAAAAAAAAAAAAAAAAAAAAAAAAAAAAAAAAAAAAAAAAAAAAAAAAAAAAAAAAAAAAAAAAAAAAAAAAAAAAAAAAAAAAAAAAAAAAAAATGGGCAGTAATGCAGCATTGCGATACTTTGGTCATGGCTCACTTGAAATTTTCTGTTACCCGGTAATTGCATTAAAATGTAACCTCACAGTGATGTTGAATAAAACACAGGGTATTTAGTAGTGGTAGAGAAAAGAGCTAATATAAACAATAACAGCTATAACAGTGGTGTAAACATCGCTGGGGCATGCGCTAGGAGCCACCCAATTTAACGGGTCCCAGACTCAGCAAATTATTAACATAAGCAGGACATAACCATTGTATTCTTTGATGTATGCCTAATTTAAATAATGATGTTCTGTTAGACTATTGACAATTCAGAAAACAGCTAGCATCAAGTGATCCATTTGAAGGTCAGTTAACAATTCAAGTGATCCTAGTTGAAGTTCAGTTAATTTAATTATGAAAGCGTCATTTAGAATACCTAATTGTATTAAAATATTGAGACTACTATGCAACAATTAGTCCCCAGGATTGGGCAACACTAAGATATTGGAATGATGGTTTTACAACCTTTTTAGAAAAACTCACACTGGGTAAGTAATAATAGCTGTCTCTAAAGGAACAACAATTGATTAGGAATGTCCATCTGAAGCACCTGAACACAACATGATTTAGCTTAATGGTGTGTGTTCACATTGGCCATGAACATTTAACAAACATAGTCCATGAAAATTTAAATAAACAAGGACAATGACAGCCCCCCTCCCCCCCATCCTTGAAGGCCCTCTATGTAATGTTTATGCAAGTTTGAACAACCAATTCTGTACACATTTTTTGTTAAAATATATGGGTGTATTTTACACCCCTGCAGCTCTTTTTTTTGTTAAAATATATGGGTTTTATTTACCCCCCTGCAGCTCTTATGCCCCCCCCCCCCCTTCTCCTTCTACACTTTAAAAATAAACGGCCTTGCTTTTGAATTGAAGAAAAAAAGTGTCACCTGAATAGATGACTGTGGCTAAGAACATGAAGATAAGATAAAACGCAATCATACAGTAATTTGTAAGCATACTCCAATTCATTTTATGATGAAAAAAAAAAAAATACCCAGCTCATACTAATTGAGCGATGTAACATTGCTTCAAAACTTCCATCTCCACATACCACCACTTTGAGAAGTACTGATTAAGTAAACTTTTCTATGCTACGGGTATTTTTTTATTTTTGTTAAAAAAATTAGAAATAAAATGGAAATTGGAAGGAAATTTTTTTTAAATGTTCAATCCATGAAATTTTTATAAAGTTTATCACAATTTACTGAATACAGTAAATATTGTTTACATTTATTGATTGAAATTTAAAATATTAAAAAAAAGATCTTGCAGTTCTATTTCATTTTAGAGGATCTATAACTATGACACTAGTCCAAGACTATCATTTTATATAATTAGGGGGACTTTTTGGTAAACTCTCTTACAAAACACAAAAAAAAGGAAGAGTTGGATATAAGAAATTTTGACAGGTGGAATGGCAGTATATATTGTTACCATTAGTTCAATTTCAGCTTTAAAAAAATATTAAACATATTTTGATTTGTGAACAGCCACTGAATACTGGTACAGAAGAATGGGCATTAATACAGTGCATCAAATAAATATATAAAGAAAATAAAAGAGTTATCACAATCAAGGGGAAGTAAACATCATGGAAAGTAAAATGACAGCCATAAAGCTCATTAGGGTAAAACAAAACTGCTTAGTGTGCCACAATAATGTCATGGGTGGCAATTAACAAAAGCTCTCTATCAAAATAATAAGCTGGCTATAACAAATTATGGAAAGGAGAAAAAAACAAAATAATCAACAAAAATATTATTATTATAATTGATGTTTACATTTAATTTCAAAGTTTGTATCTTTTTTTTTTTTTTTAATAGTTATAATTTGCAAGAATTTCCTTTGTTAATTTATCACATCATTATAGTGTTTCAAATGATATTTATTTATAGGCATATATTATTGAGTATTGAAAGTTCATCATTTAATTACCCATTGCATGTTTGTAACAAAAAAAGGAAAGGAGAAAAAAAAAAAATAAACAACAAAAATATTATTATTATAATTGATGTTTACATTTAATTTCAAAGTTTGTATCTTTTTTTTTTTTTTTAATAGTTATAATTTGCAAGAATTTCCTTTGGTAATTTATCACATCATTATAGTGTTTCACATGACATTTATTTATAGGCATATATTATTGAGTATTGACAGTTCAGCATTTAATTACCCATTGCATGTTTGCCCTAAGCCTATAGTGTTGGCGAAATTGTGGTTTTAATCTGTTATGTTTTTATAAACACAACATGGTAATCAAACTCTATTTTGTATGTTTCCTATGGCTGGGTATGTAAGCAGTCCTGTGACTGTTTCATTTTGTTCTATTCCTGGTGGTCAATACATAAGTTCACACTACAGATTTTTTTAAAATTATTTTTTGCAAAATATGCATTAAAGTTTTTGCTAAGCAGATTTAACAAAACAAAAACTCAGTAGAGCACCATTTCAAAATCTAAAAATGTAATTCCTAAGCAGAATTTAAAAAAAAAAAAAAACCCAAGCCAACAGCAGCGTGTGTATAAAAGGAAAAAAACAAACCCATATGATTAATGTTCTACTCTTAATATAAACAACCTTATATATAATTATACAAAAATACTAATTTTAAATTTTCAATAATTAACACAGTTGAATCAGAATGTAAAGCATGAATCTGAATAAATGTTTCATACAAATGTATTACCAATGAAAAACTTGACGACAAAGTGTCATCAAATCAAATTTGCACATGCAAACAACAATTTTGTAGCAGCGTTCCAACACCTTAATTTCTATATTCTAGTGCACATAACAAAGAAAACATTATATCTTAAAATAATAGGAAGAATTTGATATTTTTTTTACCTTGAACTATATCATTAAAACACCATATTATTATTATTTTATAAGAACAAAAACATTTTCCTTATTACCTCACAGAGTTTTCACTCATTTCAAATCTCACAATAGAACAACTACATATCATGTGTTCTAGAAAGTATATTTGGATAAAATGAAATAGTAGAGCTTCTACAGAACATGTGTTCTTTAATAATGTGATAAGAAGTATATTTTGGTAAAATAAAAAAAATAGACTTAATACAGAAAATGTGTTCTGTAATGTAGCAAGTAGCAAGAAGTATATTTGGATGAAATCAAATAGTAAAACTTACCACAGAACATGTGTTCTGTAATGTAGCAAGAAGTATATTTGGATGAAATCAAATAGAAAAACTTACTACAGAAAATGTGTTCTATTATGTAGCAAGAAACTTAATATTTGGAATAAATTAAACAATAGGACGAGGTAGAAATGGTGGATCATAAGATAAACTTCCCACGGAATGGTAACTAGAACCAGCAAAGCTTCTCTGTATGGACCCGTATGGAGTAGAGTGAGCTGACCTGATCTGAGGAACACTCATGTTGGGAGTGCCAGGGCTGTGGTTGGAGCCGTAAGGCTGGACAGGTGAAGTGTTACCAAGAAACCTGCCGGTATTTGAAAGTGATGGTGGCGGTGTCACTGTTGTTGTTGACGTTGTGGCTGGAATAACTTTGAGGCGTTTGTACGACAGTGTGCATAGTATCTGAGAAAAGAATGGTTTAAAATGTAAAAATTAAGTCAATGAAGAAAATATTTACAGATATGAGAAAATGAATTAAAGTAGTACGTGCATTATCATGTAACTCCATTTATTTGAAAAAATTTAATAGTCTAAGAATTTAAAGAAAAAGGACTCCTTTTAAAATGTAAGAATAAGAAAAAAAGAACAATAATTGTTACACTTCATAAAATTTTGTTAAAAAAATATATCTATACATATATAAATATGAGTATATATATCTGTATCTCTCTTTATCTCTCTCTGTCTCTCTCTCTCTCTCTCTCTCTCTCTATATATATATATATATATATATATATATATATATATATATTTTATATTAGAAATAACCTGCCAAACAATATCAGAGGCAATGCATCAACTTCCCATTTACTAAAGTTACTTTCAAAAACATGTATTCCAGTAAATATTACATATTCTTAAATTTAAGCATATTCATTAGATTTAAATTGATTCGATTTCCATAAAATAAACAAAAAACCCATCAGTGTTTATAAGTTTCCAAATTATTAGAAATGCAGACCTGTTTACCCTCAAACTCTTAAAATCGTACAATATTATCACAAAATCGTTCAATACCGTATATTCATAGTAAAAATAAACATACATTATATACAATGTTTACACCTCAAAATCGTACATTGTACGCCAAAATCGTAAGAGTAAACAGGTCTGGAAATGGGAATTTTATCTTGAACAAAAACATTTGTACTCTTTTTGGTGCACTTTTGGAGAATTGTATTTTTCTCTCTACTGAACAGAGCATTATGCCATACATACATACCTGTAGAATTATTTTAAGTGATATATATTTTTATATAATATAATGGGCAAAACAATACCATTGAAAAGAGGCTCTACTTACGAGTGATATGGCCTGTAAACCAACCAGCACTCCCAGCAAGACGTAGGGCTGATTGGCAGCAGACGACCCCCACAGTGGCGCTATGATTGTACCCAATCCTACCACACCCCTTCGTAAACCCTGGCTGAGACCTGCAAGTATCGAATCCCATGCGTTGTTTCTACTGCATTATTGAATCAAAGCCTGCAACTAATGGTTTCTGTTACCACCCTGTAAAATTGTGGGTGGCACAAATGTCAAAAAACAGAAAGAGAGAAAACACACTGCTTTAATTAATACTACTTAATAAACTGATACCAACCCGCCGTCTGTTTCCGTGTTAGTTTGGAGAAAAGGGAAGTGGCGCACACCAGCAAAAAAGGCAAGCTTAGAATGTCCAGGAATACCGCAATGGCGAAAAATGGAATATTTTTCATGCGGTTATCTGTGCAGAAAGGGGAAGTCGGGTTTAATTTAAACTGAACAATTGTCAATACGACATCAACTGTAAGTGATTTGTATTGTTTTGTTTACAGTAAAATTCAGTTGGATTTCTTTTTTTTTTTTTAAATTTACAATTTAATTGTTCCATACTTTGAAATGTTTTTCTTCTTCATTAATATTCCTCTATCGGGTGAGTTTACGGAGCAGACTATAAAAACTAAATCTTGCTTGCCTCATTTATTTTGCTAAATCTTGGTTTATATGAAATGTAAAAGGATATCACTAGTCTAGTGGTAGACCTCCCAAATTTGTTACTTTTAGAGTAAATGTAGATATTCTTTTCTTCAAATATTGTCAGCACACAATTATTAAATGAAACAACATTTTAAAAAAATTATACAAACAAGAAAAAAGTGGATGTATAAAACTCACGTGGGGGTGCATTTGGTAAGTACCACAGCAACCATATGTTGGAGGTTAGTATCATAAAAGCACCAAACATCATTAACACTCTATCTGATAAGCATCGACTTAGACGTGACATTATCAAAAACACTACAAGGATCTGCATATAGACAAAACAATATTTTTATTAAAAACACTTTGTACTAAAATGTATAAAGTAAATGTCCCCCAAAACATCAAAGCTGTCACAGTCATATGACTAAACATAGCGGTGGCGAGCCCATGAACTCAATGTTCTTGGCAGATCACAAAGACGCAGCTGGGTCACTAATTTTATTCCCCTTGTCAAGATCATGATATATGGGAGCCCTCTATGCATTAAGAGAGGTTTGTATTTTTTTTTTTTTTTTAAATTATCCAGGAGCTCCTCAAACAAGATACTAAAATTGTGGAAAATTTAAATATAAAAAGATCAAAATTATTCAATGCTTTGTTTAGTAAGGAAAGGACTAAAAGTGTTGTTGATAATCAAAGGTGTGTACGCCCCCCCCCCCTAAAATTTAAAAAAAAAAAAATCAAAAATAATCAAAGCTTTGTTTAGTAAGGAAAGGACTAAAAGGGTTGTTGATAACCAAAGGGGTGTACGCCCCCCCCCCCCACCACATACACCTTCAAGCATGCTAAATGAGGCATCTGGCTTACTCCAAGTTGGACACTCCTAATATGGACTATATCCAAAAGATAATGCATCCCTGGGTGATTTTATTTTTAATAATAGGCAAACTGGAGATGATTTAGCAAAGTCAAAGTTTTTCATTCACCCTTCAGTGAAAAAAACTATCAAAGTTGTGTACTTTTTTTTTTTTTTTTTTTTTTTAAATATTTTTATCAACATTTTAATTGTAATACACTGAAATCTAAAAACACATTTAAAAAAAAAAAGAATAATCATCAGGGTGCCCTTCTTTCATTATGCATGAGGACAGAAGGGCATCTTGATGACACACGTCAACTCTCACCACACAAAACCAGTACAATTAAAAGAAAAAAGACCAACTCACCTCAACACCACACACACAATAGAGTAAACTGTTCTCCAGCTCACTAAAGTCAAGATATTTTAAAGTTAATGGTAAGACCATAGTCTGAAAAAATAGTGAATCAACCTTACATTTTGCATTATGGCAAAACAAATTGAATTTTTTAAATTTTTTTTTTACATTTTCAAAACTAGTTTAGAATTATAATTAATGATGTTGGAGATAAAAACAAAACATGCCATCAAATGAAAGAATATAATTTATTGTGTGATTTTAAATATACAGATATAGATATCTAGAGGCTCAATTTATAGACCTATACACTTCAAGTAACAAATTGAATAGGAAATCAAGGGTAAGATATCCTGGATTACAAACCCTTACCTCAACACAAACTTGAGAAAACATTGCACAGAAAAGCAGACACACAATGGCTATGATTTCATCTCTGATATATTCTGGAGAATAGAAAAATTACTTTGTTGTATTTCATTTTGTCGTACCGATCGCACACTGAATCATTAACTTTAAAAATCATGTTATTCACAGTGGTCTAGATTTGTCAAAAATCGTGTAATTTCAGCAACAATGACAAAATACCATTGCAGAAAAAGCCCATCTTCCCTTCTCTGGCTATAGGATCATCGAGGGCTGAAACACTTCGCTCAATATACGGGTCATTTGTCCCATGCTGCAGGAATAAAGTTACATGTTCAGTCCTTTGTTACATATTGTTCATCTAAAGAGCAATTTTTTAAAATAAAAATTAAATTTGTTAAACCTTACAGTGGTATGTATGTAGAAAATATTTTTTAAAAAGGATCAATTACAAATAAACAGACCGTCCTTTCTAGGTCAACTGTTTCACAAGCTTTAATCTATGAGTCAAATGTAAACTGTGCCCACCAATCACATTATTCCTGTTTACTTACCGATCGTGTCAATCTTGAACTGGACCTTAAACTGCCGTTGTTTGACTGACCGAACAAGAGTGGCGTCTTCTCATCATCTTCATAGGTGCTTCTTACCAGGTCATTCTCCACACTCATACCAAAATGGTCTTCGTCGAAAACAAGATCCGAACCTGCGGCCTTGTGCATGTACTCACTGACACTAACAGGTGTATCTGACCAATGAGTGTTATTGATAAGCCTTTCTGCCGACACCATCAAATCAACAGAGCAGCTGAGTCGATGTTCTAAGTTGTTGGTGATAGTCTGGTCACTGCCATCAGAACTTCCTGTTGGCGGGCGGGGATCGTGGAATTCACCTGAAGACTCATCATGCTCAGAGCCAGCGCTCTCCCTTATTGAATTCTGTTCAGTCGAAGTGATATTTTCATTAGGCAAAATATCCTTTAAATCACCGTCTTCGTGACATGGTTCACTGACTCTGTCATATGTCAAGGGTGGATAATTAAACTCTGGATCATTGTTTGACTCCAGGAACTCTTTGTGATGGATATCGTTCTCATTCAGATGCTCTTCATCATTTGCATAATTAGATGGTCCTGGTTGATTGATTTCATAATTGCTCTGACTGTTACCGTTCGTAGCTAAGCGTTTTCTTCTGCTTAAAGAAACCGTGGCCTGGTTATCGTCTCTGCCTGTATATGAGATTTGGAAAATCATGGCGTTATTTACATTTCTTAAAAGATGTTGCATAGCAGACAACCCCATTTCTCTTTCAACAAATAAATTGTAGATTATTGCACTAGAATGATCCCTGTTATTAATAGCAATTAGTTAACATAGGGTCCGAGCCCTTCCAAAACATCAAATTTTAAATGAACATTTTTAAAATTTACGGATGGCTTTGTGATAATGGTGTGATATAATTTTTAACGTTAAAAAAAAAAGATTTTTAAATGTGATGTACTAGAAATACATGTATGTAGTTTCATATTGTTGCGTCTGTTTTTAAATGTGGTAAATTTTAGATTTTTTTTTATTTCTCTTTTTAATATGGTTGACTTTGTACCGCGCTTCGAGCTTTTGGGGATGAAGCGTGTTTTTCAAATAAACTTTATTATTATTATTATTATATATATATATATATAACAGAAAAGCTCTGTAATAAAAACCAAAAGTGTGAGCGAAGGCTTTTCATAAACACAAAACATCACTGCTGCAAAATAATCAAACTTGTGTTATGTTCAACCATGCAGTGTTGGAAGCCCTGTTTCAACAACTTTGTGTCCATTGGTTCTTTCCAAAGGTTTGCTTAAATGGATGTTTGTAACAGAACTACTATTGTTTTGTTCATGCCCCCATCTCAAAAATTACAATGATGGGATCAGACAGTGATGGGGTCAGACAGCAGAAGGGGTCAGACAGCGGTTGGGGTCAGATGTGATGGGTGAGACGGTGATAGGGTCAGACAGTAACAGGGTCAGACAGCAACAGGGTCAGACAGCAACTGGGTCAGACAGTAACAGGGTCATAAAGTAATGGGGTCCAACAGTTGTAATATGGTCAGCTCACATTCGTTTTTCCTTGGACTGATCCATTATACAATAAATATTGTGCATTACAGAGTATAACACAATCATCATTAAATGTGTACAAATTTTTTGTTTGGAAAAAAAACCCATGAAAATGTGATGTCAATATGTAATGCAGTCTGTTAATCTTGTCCCATAATATTACTAACAATGCATTACAAACTGATGAAATAAATTTCATTCCAAATTTAAATCTCAAAATATTTTAAATTGTTATATTTAAAATGATCTGTGGTCACACAAACACAACTATGCTAATATCCAGTCAATGGGCGTTACTTATATTACATTCTTTATAGCAGGCAGGATGTGCACTTGGCCGCCAGGTGCGAGTGGGTCAAGCACATTAAGTTGCAGGGGCATTGGTATAATATATATCAATTCATGCAAAATTGATTTTTTACCATAAATTTCTCACATTATGGGCAGTAATATATTTGTTTAAAGAGTTTATTCATTCACACGCTTTGTGATTGTGCAGCAGAAAACAAGTCAAGCTCAGAGCTGTGACATATATCAACAAAAAGCATCACATCAGCTTTTTTTTACATTGAGACTGAAGAAAATGGAAGATTTATGAATTTTTAGTTATATATAAAAAAAAAAGCACACTTAATATGTATCAAAAATATTTGTCTTTCTTACCCCTGATTGCACCATCTGGCATATGAGAAGCTGCATTTTGCCTCGTTTGAATTCTGGCCTGCCTTTCAGCTTGTCTCCTCTCACTTGCTTCTGTGGCATAGATCTGCTTGGGCTCCGTGTATAAACTTACAATGATAACCATGAGGATTGCCCACATTACTACCATGAAGGCCTGAAAAAGTAGACAGGCAAAATCTTTTTTGGAACGGACTTACATAAATGATCTATAATAAGTAAGATTATAATAGTAAAACAAACACAAACACACACACCACCACCCTCCCCCACCCCCTTTGCAATGAGTTGAAAAAGTCTGTTTCTGATAAATAAAAAAAAAATACTTACTCCTGGTGAAGAGTATTTATTCACCACAAATGGTCCTATTTTGAAATCTGCTATGCGTAGAAACAAGTTCAATCCTGGGCCTGTGTACAAAGTTCACAAAAGTATAAAAAATTTAATTTCATATTCCTAAATAGCGGTACATAAGTCATTCATTAAAAACAATTTAATATCCCTGGTCTTATTAAACATTTCTTTATTGAAGCACAACCATTAATATTAAAAAAAATTAAATAAAAATATTTTTTTTAAATTAAACGCATTAATCAACTCAAAGCTGTTAAAATGTTACCTGAATCTTATGTGCCCTAGCATATTTGTGATACCCCCAACAAGTACTATGATTGTCTAGCCAATGAAACCCCCATTTAGCATATATTGCTTTCCTGGCAGTTTGGAGGTGCTACATGTACTACATAGCACATTTTTCACTAAACATCTACATTTAGTACATGTGCGTTGATGCTATTTTTAGACCCTCAAATCAGTGAATAAGAGGACATTTGAACTTAAGATCTAAAATTTGTATGTCATAAAATATTAAGGTCATAGACCTGCGCACCAATAAGCAAGGCAATTTGGCGTGATGCCACCAAGTTAGATATGATCCCTGTCCTCTCTTTCTCTGATGTATACCTGGATACTTCTGCCAAAGCAATGGCTTCACTGGCAGCACCAAGACCTGATTTCACGAGAAGACAGAGAGGGTAACACATTTATAAATCTCTTAGTAATCCTGTCATTTCTTTTTTGAATGGGTCCATTGAACCAATCACAGTTCAAACATGTCAAAATAATAATGGGTCCATTGAACCAATCACAGTTCAAACATGTCAAAATAATAATGGGTCCATTGAAACAATCACAGTTCAAACATGTCAAAATAATAATGGGTCCATTGAAACAATCACAGTTCAAACATATCAGAATAATAATGGGTCCATTGAACCAATCACAGTTCAAACATATCAAAATAATAACAATTCCGATGGAACACAGATCTGGCAAATAACTTATTGATAAAAAACACGCATTTTTTTTTGTTATGTAATATAAATATATTTATTCCAATGAGAGAATGTCGCCTTTTATTTTTTAGGATAAAGAGGTCTTATACCATTCAACATCATACAATTCAGCCTGTACACTGCAAAATAACTTGTTCCATTTTTTTCCTTACCCTGACATTCAACATCATTCATGATTGTAACTAACATATACTAACACTGTTTTAAAAAAGCTTTTGCTTATGATTATGCATAGATGAATAAATACATTATCAGAAATTTTTTACCAAAGAAATTTGTTCAAAGAAAAAGTGTTCGATTAAAGTTGTTTTTTTCCCCATTTCTTACTTGCATTTTGTCTAAAAAAATTAAAATAAATAAATTTAATTTCTTACAAACTTTCATTCTAACAAATTTCATTTCAAAAAAACTTATGTCTAACAATTTTTTCTTTAAACAAATTTCTTTTGTACTAATTTCTGGATATGGAATAACTATATAAGAAAACCTGAAATGAACCTGCTCCCCACACAGAGCCATTGGGATAGTCCCATGAAGTATAGGAAACTTCCAACCAACTCAAACATGGAACAAATTAGAAAAATTTGTTTAGTGCAGCCAATACGGTCAGAGATCCTAAAGGGTAAAGAAATGCAAACTTTGATAGACACATTACAGTTTTATATTACGGTAGAATGTTTTTTTTTAAAGAAAAAAAAAATTATCTGCATAACATTTCACAGAGGAAAAGTATTTTTTTTAAAAACCACTAAGGGTCATTATTTCAATGTTCAAAAATTTTAATTAATAACTTTCATTACTCTTGATCATTGTTGCAAGGCTCCTTAATTAAAAGTGCATATAAGTTAATATCAGTGGGAACAAAAGGTGACTACTAATTGTAAATGAGATTGTTTATATTTATTAATTATAAGTTATCAATAATATTAATTAATTTAAATCAGAGCTCTGACTGCAAGATATTTATGATGCACTATTTAGTGGTTCTCTACATTTTATAGTTTGGGAAAGTTAAATATTTAACTTATTGCTCTGAATAGAATTAAATTTGGTTCACAGTGTCCTCATAGTCAACCAGATTAGCATTTTTCTAAAATTAATTTTTAATACATGTACCTAGACACTATTGACTATTTACTTTAAAAGAGCAAATCAATCTATTGCTTGTAAGCCCACCTTCCGAAAACAGGGGAAGACAAGAATGCTGCCACACTATAAGCTGAAAGCACCAAACCTAACATATACTCAGGAGCATCATAGGTGTTCTTCAGATACAGCCAAAGGGTTGGAAGAATTACAGCTGGAATCAAAGATAAAAATGGTTTCTTAAATTTTAATTCCATTGGGCACATCCTATTGACTAAAGGTTTCCATGTGTTCCCTAAACCCTAAACCCCCAACCCCCAAACCCCCCCCCCCCCCTCCTCCAAACAGTGAGGGTGTTAGTCATGAGGAATCCTACGGCTATGAAACCAATACTTAATACTCTAATAAAGCACATTGTAGCTAAAATGGACAAGATTCTTCAAAAGTCAGTTTTTTTTTTATCTGTTACAATAATTAGATCAGAGTAGTATTAACCACTTTCTTAAAATAAATACAAAAGAAAGAACTATAAATATAAGAGTATCGTCTAAAGCAGCGGTTCTCAACCTGTGGGTTGCGACCCCTTTGGGGGTCGCACGACCCTTTCCCTCTGGCGGAATTTACTCTCCTTGAGTATCAAGGTGGCAACATAAGAACCTTTGAGGGCAGACTGGGAAAATCAACATCCAGGGCCATATCCCTTTTGTAACAGCAGACATATGTCTGAATGGGCATTCAGTAGCAGCGACGCTACCTTCCGACACAGGGCCTCACTGTGGTGAGTCCATCTTCTGACTCATGATGTGTAAGTTGTATCTTGGTGAATTCCGACAGAACACAAACAAAAAAACATGCCATCTCATTAAACCTTTTCACACCCCAAACACTTTCCTTGGACCACTCGGATCCTGGCATTTTCCATGGCCCGATATGCATTTCTTCCACCCTACTTCTAGACAATCTCAGGAACACATCTATAAAAAAATCTCACAACATCCTCCATAATTACCGACATCTCACCACTTATAACAAAAAACAACATCGCATTACTACAATAAGGCTAAAAAAGTAACAAATGTGTAATGTGTAGTGTCAGAGGGCTGGCTGTGATCTTGCAGTGCTATTGACCCTCCCATCTTGCCCCCTTCCCCCTGAACCTTTCAAATTCTGACTAAGACAACGAAAGTTAGTGTCAAATTTTATTGTTGTGCATATACAGTGAGCACAGCATAATTAATAATTTTCAAGTACTATCAACTCTCAACTCAACTTTAAATACTCCAGTACCTAACTGTGCCTTGAATGTCTTATCTGATATGTTTTGTTTACTGTGTGCTATATTAAATTTACTTTGATAAACTATCAGTTTTCATTCCTGAGCTTAAGTACAGCTTTATTCTTCATTCCTAAATACAGCTTTATTCACCCTCAATAAGATGGAAGACCCCTGCATCTTACAGAACGAATTATAGAGAGTTGATTTGTTATCCAACATTGTTACATACCATATTCAATACCGCCAAAAATGAATATAATTCCAAAAACTCCATACATCATTCGTTTTTTTATTTTTACTGATGTCATGATGACTTATTTTAGGTTGATCACAATCTGGAAGGAAAATATACAATTTTGTAATCAGAATTTAAAAAACTATTATGGATAATAATGTTGAGCCAGCTTTCAAGCTTTGAGAAAAGGATATTAGGAACATGAATTAATGCCTTTTTCTGCAACCAAAACAAGATAAAGAATTTTTGTAAGGTCTATGCCACTATAATTGTAGTATAGTATAGAATCTAAATTTAGAGATTTAGTTATAGGTCTTAATTTCAATAAATTTTATTAATTCCAGAAAACTTAAGTCCTTAAGTCCCTTTTTGGACTTAGACCTAAATAGGACTAAGGATAATAATGAATAATTATATAATAAGTTAAGCCTATCCCATATCAGGCTTTGGCTTAAACCTTGCCATAGTCCTGTCCCTGTACTAAGTTAGTAAGTAGTAGGACTTAACTACATATAGTTGCCGTTCGGTTTACTGTATTATGTAGGCTACTACTATACTTTAGTTTATTTAGTCTGAACTTTGACTTTGGCGTACACTAGGCTATACAACAGCCTGGTCTAGGACTAGGGGTAATAACAATAATGAAAATTAAATCATTCAATAGGAATCGTCCTATCCGATCCCACATTTGGCTATTAGAAGTCTCAGCAGACTATCAGTATGAATATGAGTATGACACTATGAGAATTATTTCTATGACTACTGTCTACTATAACAAAGACAATTAAGTGAAAGTGAAGTATCTGAGGATACTATGACTATCACTGAATGTGATATTAATACTATCAGTCTGAATGTGATACTAAAAAAAAATCAGTATTACAGTTATTACAGTACAAGTAATCAGTAAGTATTCGGTGACACTGACTAATATCAGTCACAACACATCAAATTATTAATAAAATCATCATCATCAATTTTAGTTATAGTTAAATAGTTATAGACAAAGTATCAAAAATTAAGTTACTCAGACTAACTGAATTCCCTTTAAAAAAAAAAAATCATCAATATCTACTATCAGTCACATCACATAAAAAATTATCAAATTCATCACTTTGGAGTTGACTCAAAGTTTGAGTTAGCAGACTAGGACTAGGATTACGAGTAAGAAGAATGTTTTCATTAACTTACAGTGACTTACACTTACAACTTAGCCTTACTAACAGTAACAGTACTAACACTAACTTTAGAATATTAGAGTTAGATAGAGTCACTTCCTACAAGTCACTAGTCTAGTTTAGTTACTACTGACATTACTGACAACTAACTCATTCCCCCCACTCACTTTTCAGTGATTCAGTGACTTCACTCAGTTTGACTCTTCGGAGACTGAACTTGACTTGTTGATATTATTATTCCAGTCTAGTTC